TGAGGTTTTTGGTTGGTTGGGCTATATATATTTTTTTGCTTTTTTTTGCATTGCAACTGTTTTGGGCTTTTGTAACTGTTGCAAAGAATGAGTTAAGCAATTCTGCTTTCTCTCTGCTACCTGTTACTTTCTTACCATCTTTTCTTTTAATCTACCGCTTCCTTGATTGTTTTCTTGTTATTTATATGTTGAACGAAACTTCTAAAATTATATTTTACTTTTGTTGCAAGTTGTTCATTTTGAGCCTTTGCTTTCCTGACTTCATCTTTGCAGATTTGGGTTATCTGCTGATATTCTGCCTTAGTTTTTCTTTTTTTGTACTCGTCCTTTTTGTCTTTCAGTTTATTAGTGCAACTTCTTTGATTTATTTAATACATATTGGACTGGGCTTTTATTATCATACTTTTTAAAGAGTTTTCCACTGTTCTTGAGTTGTTTTCCTTTTTGGGATTTTCATTCATGGAATTTTTCTTAGGTTCTCTCTGAGTTTGTTAAAGTCAGATCTTTTAAAGTTTAAGACACTGGCTGGATTATGTTCCATCACTTGTGTTTGCATTATATTGAATTGCAATATGACGTCGTCAACCTTGCCAAGGTTCCGGCAACTTCAACTCCCTCTGTCACTTCCTCTCTATTAGTAAGAATTAGGTCCAGTATAGTTTTTCCTCTAGTTCCCTCCTCTACCTTGTGAAGGACAAAGTTGTCAGCTAAGTTGGTTTAGGAATCTGTTTGATCTCCCACTTCCTGCAAGGTTTGTCTCCCAGTTGATATCAGGATAGTTAAAGTCCCCCATTACTATTGTGGTGTGTTTCCTACATACATTTGTTAGTTGTGTAGCAAAATATTCATCTATATCTTCTGCTTGGTGGGTGGCCTGTAGTATACGCCTATAGCAATTTCATTTCCCCCCTTTTATCAATATAAAAGGATCCCATATGGATTCTAGGAGGTTTTCATCCTTGGTTTTCTGTAGAGTTCTGGTGATCTTTTATGTGTAATGCAACTCCACCTCCTCTTCTGTTAGGCCTGTTTCTTTTGAACAGTTTGTATCCTTCCATCGGTACATTCCGGTCATGAGTTTCATCCCACCATCTTTCAGTAACGGCAGCTATGTCATATCTGCCTTCCTGTGCTAATACGTCAAGTTCACCCTGTTTCTGAGCGTATTTGTGCATAGGCATTTGAGTCCTTTACGGGTCTTGGGTATGTTTCTTTTATCTCCTGTTTTGTAACTGAGTTTTCCATTCTTTCCATCACCCTCCATTGTGTTTTTCCGTTTTTTCTTTTTCTTCTCTCTCTTTACTCCCTACCTCCTTATATGATTGGTTATTGGTTAGTGGAATTAGGTTCTAAAGATCTTGAAGATTGCCCCCCATCCCCCCCACCTCAATTTAAGTTTCAAACCCTTCTGATGAGATGAGCCAGTCGTTTTCCCAATATATTCTTTCCAGGTCTTGTGAGGTGCAGTCCACCCCTTGCCAGGAGCCCTTCAGGTAGGTCAGGCAGACCATGGAGTAGGAAGACGAAGGTCTCTGGACGGCATCAGTTTTTAGGCCAGTGGTCCGTTTCTAAAATCCTTTGCTCCCTCGTTGGATATCGACCTTTTGTTGGAAGTGGTTGTACTCCCAATCCTTTAGCTTTCTTCCCTAGCTAATCGTAATCTCTTGTTACTCTTTTCAGAATCATTGTTGTATCGTTGGTCCCCCCATGTGTCGGAGAAAAAAGAGGTAGTAATCCGTGGGGTTGATATTTAAGTACGGTTCTCAGTTACATCTTTGATTTTTGCTCCAGGGAAATAACATCCCTCCCTAGATTGACTGTTCAGTCTGCAGACTATAGTTTCTCTTCCCCAAAGAATTGTTCAGTTACTATCAGTTGTTCAGTTAGTAACATGGTCGTTAAATGAATCTGGCTTCTCCATTGACTTGGTTTGTCCGAAGGTCTCAAAAGGGGATTGCAGGACCCTGGAACAAGGCGACCGTCATAAATGTGAGCCAGTTTCCCAGCCTCTCCATTTCCATCATGGGACCCTGGGGATGCTGCAATGGTTGTAAGTGTGAAAAATAGTCCTAAGTCACTTTTTTCACTGCCAGTGTAACTTTGAATGGTCACTAAATGAGCTGTTGTAATTCAAGGACTGCCTGTAGTTTTTCTGTTATCTATCTCCAGAGCCCCAGAACTTCCAGAAGGAAGAATTTGAATTTCTTTTCTCTGGCTCTCTGGATTTTGCTGCTTTGCAAAAACAGCTCCCGGCCTGTTAACTGCCCCCTTCCTGTTATCCTCCCCCCTTTTGCACCCCCTCCCCCTCAACTGGGCCCTCTAAAAATAGAGGCCTCCTCCTGGAAGACATGACAAGCAGGCAAGCGGTGGCTGGAGCCAAGCCTATTCTTAGCGCTTTGGCACAGGGACCTCCGTAGCCCCAAGGCGCCACCCTCTCCTCTTCTTCCCTTAAGCCCATTGCCTCTCCTCCTTTGGGGCGTGGGGGAGGCCCCGAATCCCAGCCCAAAGGCTGCACTCCGCTGAAAACATTTTCAAAAGTCAGCAGGTGGGAGCTTTGGCCACCCATGGAAGGGCTGTGTGTGTGTGTGTGTGTGACCCAAGGCACCCAGCTCTGCCCCAAGGATGGGGACGCCCAGCCCCGCTGGTCAGGCTGCCTCCCTAGCGGAGCTCACCCTGGAAACCGGCTGCAGGCGAGCCAGGGCCAGGATGCTAGCAAAGCAGGGCCCAGAGGGGCTGCCCCACCGGACTGCTAAACCGAATGGGGCGGAGAATAAGCAGCCGGGGGGGTGTTCGGGGGAAATGATTGGGGCGCTGATGAGGAGCCCAAGTATGGGGGGGGGGGTCCCTCAGACTCAGCCAGATGGAGGAGCCAGGCTGGAGAAGAGGAGGAGGCGGAATTAAAGCCAGAGGTTGCCTGCAGAGACCGATACGAGGGAAGGGGCTTCAGTGACGCCTTTGGATCCCCAGGTGACCCCCCTGCTCCAGCTACGGGTCGCCTTTGGCCTGCAACCCTTCATCCCGTAGCCCTTCAGAGTTACAAGGGCGGTGCAGGAATGGGGGGTTATGACCCGACTTCTGGCCATCCCAGCAGTCCTGAATTCTTGTGACCAGGGTGCTTGGCAACTAGTATACATTTGCAACCATGGGGAAGTCAGCAGGGAAGGGAGCCAGTCTCCCCCATCCACCAACCCTCCTCCAGCCCTCTGCACTCACACCGCACTTGCTCCCCACCCCCCACCCCCGGTGCACCCCCCCACACACTCTGTGCCTGTGGGGCATCTTCCCTGACCTGCCCCCACCTCTTGCCCTCCCCCTGAGGCCCCCTCCCCTTGCCACACCTCTGGCATGTTCTCCGTGCCCCCTCCACAACCCTTGCTGTCTGCGCCTCTCCTCTGCACCCCCTTGCTCCCTTCCCCACCTGGTGGCAGCCATTTGCCTGTGTCTGCCAGCTTCCCCACTGATTTTGGTTGTGGAAAGCTGGTAGGAAATTGCCTAGTCTAGTGACCAGGGGTCCAGGTCTGCAGGTTGCTTTATGGCTGTGTTGCTTAGCAATGGAAATTCCACTCCCAATTGCTGCCATAAATGAAAGACTACCTGTATTGCCTCAGGTAACACCTTTAGCTGCAGCAAAATCCCCCTCCTTACACGATACAGTATGCATTTATAGCTGGGGCTTTACACCAGATGTTTGACTTGCCGCAGGTGGGTCCCTGTGAGACACCGAGTCACATTTCAGCTAACTGGCCTGGGTTTGCAGCACCCCCAAAGGCATAAGAGAACAGCCAGGGGCTGCATGCCGTGTGGATGTAGCCAGACGACTTACACCAACCCCTTTTGAGGAAATATCGGTGAGACCTTGGTGCAGGCTTGCAGAAGGACACTCCATTCCCAAGATGCCACGAGAAGTGGAGAATCACCATGAGGGGCACTTGGGCTGCCTTGAACGGAACGAATCCACAGCCTGAGTTTGGCATTTGTTCACAATAGCTGCAGCTGGGAGGGACAGCTCAGGTTTTGCCTGTTGGAGAGGCAATATTTTCCCCTTTGTTCTACCTGCTCCTAGTCCTTACGTTTTAAAGATCCATTGGCAGATGGACAGTGAATAAGACACGAGGGAAGGTGCGGTAATAGGAGGTTTACTACAGACAAACTTCCATCAGGCAGGCGTGAAGGTGTTTCACTCACAATCATGAAAATGCAGAAGCAGCAAAAACTGGCAGCAAAATACTTTCTGCAAAAGGAGAGAAGGCACTCCTGAGGCAGTGAGTTCCATGGGGAAACCGTTTCTCCCCCCAAGAATAATGTTGAAAGTGAAAGAAGAACCTTCACTGAGGACTCCTGCCTCGGGCAGGGGGTTGAGCTAGAAGACCTCCCAGGTCCCTTCCAACCCTAAGGAGCCTTTGATTCTATTCTGGTCTGGTGCTCTGGATGAGAAGCTCTCAGAGACGCTTGGAGGGAGGCAACGGCTTCCACACTTGATCTGTTTAGAGCGAATCATTTGTTCAGAGTTTCCACATGGAGCTGGGATTTGGGCTGAGGCGTCCGCTTCTGGCCACAGCCCGCAGCCTCCCTTCCCAAAGGGGAGGAAAGGAAAAGGGTGAGACGCTTTGCATGCTCTTCCACCAAAGGGTGACCAGGGTTGTAGAGGCAGCCCTTCTCCCTTCTTGCTTGTGGAAGGAACACTCTGTGACTCTTGCATGGAACCGGACTTTCCCCCATTTTTGCATTCAAGCTCAAAGCCAAAGGGCACTTGCTCCACGTTTGCTCCTGCCTGGCTCACAGGAAAGATTGCATCCTGAATGGGTGCCCAGAAAATGCCACATGACATGTGCTTGGCACAAGAAGGCAGCTTCTGTGGCTATGAATATACTTAGATGCACCTCCTTTCCTGGCAGTGGCACTTCAGAGGGGAGAGCAATGAATAGGCCGCTGTGGCCAGAAGTGATGGGGGGGGGAGGAGGATTTCCCTCAAACAAGGTGTGTGTGTGTGTGTGTGTGTGTGTGTGTGTGTGTGTGTGTGTGTGTGTGTTTGCCTCTGCTGGCTCCCCTCTTCCACAGCAGGCCCCCCTCAGCTGGTCAAGCTGGTCTCTGCCCTGTAACCAGCGACCAAGGGCCTTTTTGCAAACCAGCAAACGTTGCAAGCGGGACTTTTGACAAGGCTTCCAGGGGCCCCGTCCACAATTACTGCATGCTGCACCTGAGAGAGGGTGACGTATGTCCAGTTCACCGGGGATGCACGGGTCACAGGAAAATGTCCCCAGGTGCCAAAGGATCCCCTGCTGGAGGAAGGGAAAGCGCTCTCGGTCTGGAGGCACCCTTGCTTAGGGAGGGGCCCCTGGAGATGCTCTGGGGGCCCTGCAGGAGGGGGTGGGCCACACTACGGTGCCGGTGGGGGAGGAGCATAAAGTGCCACCTGTACAGGCGGCAGCAGATCCTTCATGGACCGTCCCAGTACCTTTGGTTCTGGCCATCCTAGAAGTTGGCACTCGCCAAGCGAGACTTCATTCTCCACCGAGCGCTGGCCCAGCCCAGCCCAGCCCAGCCCTGGGCACTACTTGCCGTCCTGAGCTGCCTGTCTTTGTCCTGAGAGCTTGTACTTCTGGGCCACCCCATAAGGAACGTGGGCGGCGACCGTGCCCATTTCCTTGGCTCCCTCCACATGAAACATCTGGTCATCAAAGAAGATGTGTGGCCGGATCTTCTCCAGCAGGGGGCCCTTGGGTGCGCCGGCCAGGAAGAGGGCCTCGTCCGTTTCCAGCCCCCAACTCCGGAGAGTCTTCAGGGCTCGGGCCCCGGAACTGGCAGCACTTCGAGCTGTGACCAGGTAGGTGCGAATGGGGCATTCCAGGCGGAGGCCTTTGGTGTAGAACTTCTTCTGGAGCTTCCCCAGCGCTTCCAGGAAGCCCTTCAGTGGCCCCTGGAGAGAGGAACACACACACGTCAGCCCCAGCAGCATGTGGCCCCCTCCCAGGCAGTCAGGCAAGGGGGACCAGCTCAGGCGCAGCTCCCTTGGGGAGGCCCCGGGGCTTCCCTGCCCTCCCTGACCCAGCCACGCACAGGTGCCCTCTCTGGCTCTAGCAGTAGCTGCTATACTGGGATGGGCCTGCTCTCTGGCTTCCTGCTTGAAGACTGGCTTCGTTTGTAGGCAGCAGGTCTCTTCCCACTTGGCTCTGTCTAAAGTGTTTGTTAGCAGGGCAGCTCTGAAGACCATCCTCTCTCTCTCTCTCTCTCTCTCTCTCTCTCTCTCTCTCTCTCTCTCTTGGCAAAAACAATCATGAAAAGGCCAATTTGGTCCCGATGCTGCCGGTCCCCGAACGGCACCTGAGCAAGAGGCTTGTTCTCATAGGCCTTCTCGTGCTCGAAGAACATGTCCAGGCCATGAGCCTTCACAATCTGCTCCGACTCGTCTGAAAACAGCACCGCGTCTCCGTCGAAGGCGACACGAAGCTGCTTCTCCGAGACTTGCACATCTTTCTTGGGGGTGAAAATAGTGGCAGCTGCAATCCCTGGGGAGGGAAGAAAGAAAGAAAAGAGCCTTCACTTCCTGTTGCCTGATGCTCTCCTGTTGGAGCAAGAACTTCACAGCCTTCAGTGAGGTCTGTTTAAGGCCTGTCTGGGATAATTACAGAGTTTGGGAAACAGTAAAAGGAACTTCCGAGTCTCGTTTATGATGGTAAAATCTCTGAATGATTTTTGTGAGATCAGCTGTCTCGCTTTCGGTATCCTCTCCTGCTATCCCTCTGCCATCCTCCCCATCACCTCTCACATCTGCCGGGAGGATTCCCCAAATATTTCTGTCCCGTCCCCCAGATGTGTGAGCTTCCCACCCTCCAGGACTTAGCAACTGGTCAATGCGCTTGATCAGTCTTATGCCAATGAGCCAACCAGATCCTCACAGTCTCCCAAATGGCAGAAATCCCAACTTGGAGGGATTCTTCTAAGCAACCCGATAAAACCATCAAACTTCAGTCCAAGGTTACTTTGCCCCATGAAGGCCTCGCTTACACGGCAGGAGATTCTGACAGACGCTTCACTGCTCTTTCTGCTGGGACTTGGAAAGCTAACAAGCATGCAATGTCTGGCATGTGGGGCCCTGGCAGGGGGTGGGGCGGGGACAACGACCAGTAAATCTTTTTTTTTATTTTTAATCTGATTCTTGGAGACTGCCTGGACAAGCCCCTGCAATTTTCATGGCAATTCAGAAGCTGGTTTGCCATGACCTCCTTCCTGGGACTGGGAGAGAGAGAGAGAGAGAGAGAGAGAGAGAGATCACCCAGCTGCTCCTGTGCCTAAAGCAGGACTAGAACTCCCAGTCTCTTCGTTTCTGGCCTGGTGCCTTAAGTGCCACGCCAAAATGACTCTTCACAAACACAACTAAATGGCTCACAGGACTGTATGAATAAGATTACAACAGTCATGATTCCTGGAACAACACTTAGTAAAGTTGGCCTTGCTTTGGATTTTAGAAAACATGCACCCCCACAGGTGCCTACAGAGTCAAGTGTGTCATTTCTCCCTCCCCCTTTCAGTCCAAAAGGCCCCACAAACTCCCCCCAACAGCATCACTCACCCTCTTCTAAGGCCTCACTCACTTTCTCACAGTCCGAGGATAAATAGAGGTTGGTGTGGTAGGCCTTCAAGTAGCAAATGGGGCTGTTCCCGCCTGTCATACAAAACCTCTCAATGAAGAGATCTGGGAGGAAAAGAAGATGCTTCGTCGGTAAACAGGGACCAGGCAACCCGAGGCTTCTTTATGGGTCAGAGTCCCTGGCTAGCACAACTGGAGGACACCATGGTGGGAAGGGATGAGGATCCTGGAGGTACCTGAAGAGTTGCCAGAACCGGCCATGCGTAATGCGTAACAGCGGAAGGAGACGAGGAGAGGTGAGCCGGGCAGACATTTGGCAATGCAGTTCCAAAAAGAAGAATGCCATAGTGGCACCTTGGTACCTTCAAAGCTGCCTTGAAACTCATCCTGTGTTTGGTACTCAGTGCACAAGCCAGAACCCGTCGGTGTTAGCTGCCTTGTGGCTCACTGCAAGTATTCCTTATGGGACAACATTTGTTTGGCACTCCTCATTATTGGTATTCCTCCTGCCTCCCGGAACTAATTCACAATGAATCCCATGGTGCCACCGTGAATTAAAAACTGGCTGTATGACAAAAGCCAGGCTCCCAAGCAGTCGCTCCTGAAAAGAGCTTCTTCTGGGGGATCCTATTGAGCCAGCAGAGTTGTTATGCAGGCGGTGGAGCCCATTGCTAGAGAATGAAGCTCCCTCGGGGAGGGGAGGGGTAGACCTTCCGCCCGGCTCATTGGATGCCCTGGGAGAGAGATTCGGGGCTCCCGAGCACCGAGCCCACTGCCCCATTGGGGGGATGGCAGTCAGGGGATTAGCCCCTTGGCAGATGTTGCCCTTCTGGTTACTTACTGTAATGGTTGATGCTGTTGATCAAGCGAACGCCCACTTGAGCGTGGTTGTTGGTCACGAGGACAATGTCAAAGAGCTCCTCGCTGTCTGGGAAGAGTTCCCGCAGCCGGCAGTTGACTGATTCCAGAGCCTGGGAACCCAGGGAGAGAGAACAGTGTGTCCAAGAGGCAACACATTCACTTAAGGGACCATCGGGTAAGAAGGGCTCACTGGTGGTGACCCAGTGAAGAATCTTCTCCAGCAAAGGAGGGAGCCCTGCTCTCCAAGGGCCACAGGGAGCTGGGGGGTGGGCGGAACAGCAAGAGGGGGGAAAGCCCCTGGGGGAATGGCCACAAGTGGCTCCCCCCTCCCCCTGGGGACCCACCTTTGCAGAGTTGACCTGTGTGAACATGAGCAAAAGAGACCTTGACAAAAGGGAAGGCTGCTCCGGGCAGGAAGGGCTCCTCCTCGTGCTCCAGCTGATACTTCACGTAGGCCTCCACGCCTTGCTCGGTGTAAATCTTCTGCTCTTCTTCCATACGGAAGAGGGCTCGGGAGGACACAGCAATGGTGATGGCGTGCTGGGGCTTTGGCTGCAAGAGAAGAGTGCTGGCTGCTTCCCCCGTAAGAGAGGGCAGCTTTCCCGGGTGACTGGGCCAAAGGGGGCACCCCTGGAGGGACGGGGGCGGGGTTCCTCGCCCTTAAAGGCCGGGGGGTCAGCCAGACCAGCTTCTCTCAATGACTCATTTTCATAATTAACTTCACTTCAGTTTGTCCAGCTTCCATATTAGTTGGATTGTTTTGTAAGGCTCGGGTGACCTCCAGAATCCTATGCCACCGGCCAGAGGGAGAGAGCCACCCTCACCAACTGTCTCCTCCTCCTCCTCCTCCTCCTCACTGCTGTACTTGTTCTCGTGCTGGGAGGAAGTGGGGACGTAGGCCTCGCTGCTTGCCCCGTGTGGCTGGGCCAGCAGAAGCCCCTGCCAGCAGTCAAGCTTTCTGGGTTCTGCCTGGCTTCTGGCCATCCAATGCTGGCCTTCTGCTGTCAAACGGCTTCCTTCTCTTCTGCCCTTTTGCTCCGGGTTGGGTCCATCCGAGGAGCTCAGCCCTGACATCTGCTTGCCAAGGAAAAAAGGCAAGCATTTCTAGCTCAGACAACTGTTCTTCTGCCTTTCCAGGCCTAGTTTAGCCCAGCTGGGTTGGAACCACCCTCTTCTCTATTCGGGCCTGTTTGCCTATCAGGGAGCTGGGAGCACCAGTTTGTTTTACACAACCACGAGTCCCTGAGGCTTGCAGAGAACCACCAGCCATTCGCTGGTTGCCATTTCTAGCCAATTGCTAACTGGCAAGGCTCGCTTGGTGGGCAATGCCTGAGCGCCTTCCTTCCCTCAAATAAAATGGAACAAATCCCGGGTATTTTTGTGCTTGGCCAATGAAGAAATCCCTGTCACTGGCAGAGGGGCAGTGCTTAGTGGCCTTCATCCAATCACACTCTCCCCCCCCCCGCCCCATGTGCGTGTGATGGTGACGGGGAGGATCGTTGTTATTGGGGAGCCAGGGGCATCTTTTGATTTCTCCTTCGTATTAAGAGCAGTCTAGAGGTCAGAGCTCCTTCTGAGCCAGCTGGTTTGCTTTCCACTCTGGCTGGCTGAACCAAGGAAAAGGTGTGGAATCTTCCCCTAACTTCAAAGCTTCTCCTGCGGTATAAACCTCAGATTTCCTTCCCCTCCAGGTGCAACACCCAGCCAAGGCCAGTCTTGTAGCCTCCTGAGCACAGCAGGGCCATGAAGTCACAGTGCCAAGGTAGAAAGTTAGCAACCACCCCTCTCCTAGAAGAACGAAATACTCTAGGAAATATTAAAAGGGCAGAATATTATATTTCCCTGGATGAAAAAAGGAGAAACATGTTTTTATAAAGACAAAGCAGCTCCCTGCCCCCTTTCAGCTCCAGGGTGGTGGGATTAAGACACGGCCCTCAGGACATGACAGGATTAGCCCTCTACCCATCTCGCCACATGGCACCTGGGAAGATTAACATCACCCAGCAAGATTCAACCAAGCCTGGGACTCAAGACAACCTACAAAGTTACCCCTGCATGGCCCCATATGGGAGTCTGACAACCAACTAGGATACATTTCTTGCCACAGGAACAGGAAGCAAGTTCAAAGCCCGACAGAGGGTATAAATCTCTTTCACCCATATGCTGTTTTTTGCCCAGGACCTCAAATCCTGCTGTCCGCCATTAAACCATCCTTCTAAGCAGTCTCCATGTTTCCAATGTCTTTCTTCCCACCTGGAACTGACCCCAGGTGGACATTTCTTCCAATAATTGTTTTGATCAAAATCTTGGGGTTGTGTTGTTTGTTGGGAGCTTCTGCATGAAGCCTGGCATCAGGTACTGCTCAGAAACTGGCTGCCTGCCGGGTATCTCTGCTGTCGCTATTAAGGAGTCCCTGGCAGCTTGGAAGAGATTTGGATATTATCTCGCTTGCTACGTAAGCTTTGATGTTATGCATTTCTATCTGTTTTTGAGCTAATAATAAAGCTTCAACTCCCTTTAGTTACTGGAGTGATCATTGTTTCTGGATCCAAAGGAACCAATTGCCTGGACAACTAATTACTACCATGACACTTGGCAAAACAGTGTGTGTGGCCTGTGTGTAAGTGCGTATGTGTGTGTGTGTGAGTGTGTGTGGGGGGGAGGTGAGGACACCAAGGACAATATGTTGCCATTTCTAAGATTTGCCACATAAAACAGTGTTTTCCCACCCCTTAAATACACCACTTGCACAATACAAAACACTCTTTATTATTTGCATGCTTCTGGTATGGAGGGGCGGGCAGGAGCAACCTTGCAGGCCAGAGCAGAGTTTCCCTGGGGAAACAGAGCCAACTCTGCAGGCCGGGGCCATCTATTCCGGAAGCACCTCTGAGCCTGGAAAGCAGCCCCCCCCCCACCTCTCTCGTCCTGATTAATTGCCCCCTTTAGAGCCAAGCTCACCTCCCTGAGGCGCTGCCAGGTGAGGATCGGTCCTGGCAGGAGTTCGGCTGGGGGGCTCCACAGATCCTTTCACTTGCCCTACATTTCACCTGGCCTCTCGCCAGACCAGCTTCCCAAGTGCCCTGGCATGCAAACAAGGAAGCCTCCCCACATCCACCCCAGCAGGAAAAACGATCTCTCTTACCGATTTGGGCTTCCTTTGGGGAGAGAGGTTCTCATAAAAGGCCTTGGCATCCTCCAAAATGCTTGCTTGTTTGGGCTGCCCTCTGCTTTCCGGGCATCTGGGTCCAGTGGGCTCCATGGCGCATTCCCTCTACCCGTCCGGGAGCAGGAGAAGATGCCCAAGAGCCCCCCAGTCCAGCTGCAAAAAGAGCCAGCCGCCTCCTCCGGTGGCTGCAAAGGGAGGGCGAATCCGAAGGCAGCTGCAGCCGTCCGTGTGCAGGAAAGAAGGCAGACGAGCCTCTGCGTGTGTGGTGCGTGTGTCACTCAGAGCGCGCTCTTTATAAGGGATCCCATGAACCTCCTGGGCCCTCCTGCTGCTAAAGCGACTGGGCAGCTGCCCTCCCACCTTCCTGGCTTCCTTTCCTTGGACCCACTAAATCTGTGGGCAGCCCCACTCAGGTGGGGACAGGGGGGCAGGAGGGAGGAGGAGGGGTCCTCTGACTTGGCCCAAAGGAGCTGGGAGAGGGGACTTACCTGGGCAGGATGCCCACCGCCATGGCAAAGACCACGTAAGAGGGCAGGCGGTGTGCTGAAAGGAGACCCGCTCGGGTCCAGCAGGGGCTCCCAGGGGCCACCAAGGGGGGCCAAGACTTGCACCGATTCCTGGAATTTTGCACCACCTCCTGATTTTAGGGATCGTTTATTGTGGCTCTGCTGTCAAAAACAAACATCTTTGGGGGGGGGGGGTGGAGTGGGGGGAGGGACCGGAGACCGTGGTTAACACAGAAACAGGGGAACAAATGGGCTCTTATTTCATAACCCAAAGGGGTTTTTTACAAGGTCCACTTACAAATTATCTGCATTCTTCCACGGTTACTCTCGGCCTTCCCAGGCTTGCCCCCCCCCCGTCCCCCCCTCTTCTCTTGCTGGACAAAGCCTTCCTGGGACAAAAGTGCCCACCGCTACCGTCCCTCCACTGACAGGGGCCCCCTTGCCTCAGGCTAGCCAAGGATCCTGAAGGCCCTGGAGGAAGGAGGCTCAGCTCCACATGCTCCACGTGCTCCTTTCCCCAAAGCACGCGGTCAATCCTGGATCAATACAAGAACCTGATGGGGTTTGGGTCTAATCCAGCCAGCAGCCCTGAGACTAAATGTGACCACAATTGCTTAATGAGCTCTTTAGAGAAATGAATTGCATGCCCTGAAAACGGGCCCTTGGTGCTTGGCTGGGGAAAAGCTTTAGTTCCAGCAGCCCCAAATCCAGCTGCTTAGAAGGACCAGAAGCCCCTGCTGCCTGTCTCCGTCTGAGGGAGCCTTCCCGGAGCCTCCATTTAACTCACTGGCTCAGGGGCTCCTGCCGGGCTCTCGGCTGCCTCCCCCTCCTTCCCACCTGCTTGTCCGGGGGGCCAGGAGGGTGCAGCACTCAGTGCCTTCGTCTCATTCCTTCTGCATTTATAACCCACTTTATCCCCAGGGACTCTGACTGGCGTCCACGAGCAACAGCTACAGCTGGTGGAGTCCTGCACACAGGTCCCCCCTCTGGGGAATTCCCAGGTGAGCCTCCCTCACAAGGCACTCTTTGTCCCGAAAGCAAAGGGCAAGCCTCGTGGAAACTGCCTTGGAGAAAAAGGGGCTCAAAAGCAGTGGTGGGAGTCCGAGAATTTAACAGCCGGTTCTCTGCCCTCCTGATTTCTTCCAACAACCAGCTCACCAAACTGCTCAGAAAGTTAACCGGTTTCCTGAACTGAATCTCACCACTGGTCAAAAGCCTGAGAAACCAAAGCGTGTTGAGGAACGAGTGGATCTTATTATCCCCTATGACTATCATTAAGTGTTGCACCTGATGATTCTGGACTCTTGACGAATGCATCTTTTCTTTTATGTACACTGGGAGCATTTGCACTAAGACAAATTCCTTGTGTGTCCAGTCACCCTTGGCCAATAAAAGAATTCTATTCTATTCTATTCTATTCTATTCTATTCTATTCTATTCTATTCTATTCTATTCTGTTCTGTTCTGTTCTGTTCTGTTCTATTCTATTCTATTCTATTCTATTCTATTCTATTCTATTCTATTCTAATCTATTCTATTCTATTCTATTCTATTCTATTCTATTCTAATTCTAATTCTAATTCTAATTCTAATTCTATTCTAATTATGTTCTATATTGGGAAGCTGAATTCCTCTGTGGTGCCACGTTGGCACTGGGCCTGGGCTGGCATCATCTGGGGAGGGCACCTTTTGTTGCCCTTTATGGGCAGCTCCATGGCTTCCCTTCCAGGCACCCCCCCCCCCCACAACTGCCTGCAAGGCAGACTCAGCCGAGGGGCTCCCGGGCAGGAAAGGCCAGGCTTCTCCTGAAGGTGGGAGGAAAGGCGCCACAGGAAGGATTCCGGGGAAGGCAGGCCGCCTCAAGCTGCTTTGGGGGAGATTCTCTTGGCGCTGTCCTTTCCCCCTGATGTGTGGTATTGCCACCAATCCACAGCACGCCTGTGTCCCTGTGTGTATGTGTACACGCACCCACTCCTCCTCACCCTTCCTTTGGCAGAAAGCTCTAGAGAAGCCAGTGATTCTCTACAGATCTCAGACATCTACTCCATGGAGATTATATGGACATTACCTAAAAAAGACATGGATATTCAGAGAAAAACCCAAGTCTACCTGCAGCCAATACTACCATTCATATGAATAGTCCATGTATTATGCAAACCCAGAAAAAGGGTCTGTTCAGTTAGTTGTGTGTTTTGTGAACCTACCTGGTGCTGGAGTGTGTCTGTCAATAGCCTTAACCAATTCCTTCTTCTTGTGTCCCAGCAAACTATATGCCAGCTTGAATCTGTCCTGACATGTATCTGTGCCATACTTAGATTTGCAACGTTAAGTTTGCCCCACAATCCACTGCAATTGGCTTCCTTCAATCTGCTGCTAAACCTTGCAGAGTTTGTGAATCTTCTACTCTACTTTGGGCATTCACGCCTTCTGTCTGTTAACCCAATTTTGGGGGAAGAGGAATCAACAAGAGGCAATAAAACTGGTAAGAGCTGGTGTTTTGAATAAAGATCCGGGACGCTTGAGCCTTTGCAAGTGGTTTGCACCATCCTAGGCATGAAAGGCAAATGCTGAACCAGCATTTAATTGTAAAAACAAACCCCTCCCTCCCTCCAAGCAGACCTGACAAAACACCTCCCTCCCAGCCAAAGTGGAGGCCACGCTCTCCTCTGCACCTTGTTTTCAGCTCAGCGGTTCCCAGAGCCCCAGTGAATCTCTGTACAGCACCCCCTTGCCAATGTGCCACTCAGGAGCACCAAAGCTAGCCTGATTCAGTTGGTTGGCTCTGTGTGTGTGTGTGTGTGTGTTTGAAATTGCTGCTTTGAGAAGGCAAAGCAACAATGTGGACTTCTAAGGGCAGCCTGGCCATTTTCATTCACTCATTCCCCAAACTAGCCTTGTCTGGCTGCAGCATCAAGTCTCCCCCAGGCACAAGAGGTTCCTGCCCCCTAGCAGGAGCGATGCAGTGGGCAGGCCCTTTTCTTGCACATGTGCTGGCAGGCAGTGAAGGTGGGTGGATGGGCAATTGTTTTCTAAGTGATGTTTGCTTTCACTCTTAGGTCCCAAACTGCCCTCTGCCGTTTGCATCTGACACACAGCGGCCCTTTCCCACTTCAGGGTCTTGCCTGAACCGTGGGGGTTCCATGAAGCCCAGGGGAGAGGGAGCTTTGGCCCAGGGCTGAGGCAGATCGGACCTTCAGCCTCTCTTCCACCAGCCAGCCACATCAAACAGCCAAGTTAGACCTGTAGCTAGTCAAAAGCTCCACCGGAATGGACAGGTTGGGGCCAGTTTAGGAGCAGCCCACTGCCTCCTCATTACCAGTTTGTTGCCTATGGCTGTCCCAACGGCAATGGACTCTTCAGCCACTGGTGGGCACAGCACCAGTTGACCAAACCAGTTTGATAAAACTGGATTCCAGGTATTTGTGTTAATTCAACAAATGTACTACACAAACCTAGCCAAAATATTGTATCACCTATATTACTTTAACAGCTTTTAAATACTTGTCAAAGAAACAGATTCCCAAAATGTCACAACTTTAGTTCAACCTGATGAGAAGTATTGTTTTTAGGGACCTCAAGAATTTGAGGTGTGGTCCTCCTTGTCTCAGAATTTCGACCCACAGGATGATGGTTCCAGACTTCATTTGGTTTCCAAGTGAATCCATTTCTTGGGTTTGCGTTATACCCTGAAAACCCCCTGAAAGCCCCTCGCTTTACGTAGAGCCCGTGGCCCCGTGTGGATTATTTACGCCTGGCCTGGCGAATAAAGTGTGTGTGCAGACAGGCATATTGCCGTCCCTCCCACAGGACTCGCAAGGACCCAAAGAAAAAGGCCACAGGGTGTCAGTCCATCCACCTCTGTCCCTGCGCCCAGCAGGCGTTCTTCTGGCTTAGGACTGCAATTGACCCAAATATTTCTGTGGCTAACTGAAACATTTGTTAAATGAGTTTTGCCCCGTTTTACAACCTTTCTTCCACCACTGTTAAGTGAATCACCAAAGTTGTTAATTTAGTCCCAGGGTTGGGAAGTGAGCCGGGCTTCCCCGTTGACTTTGCTCGTCAGAAGGTCTGAAAAGGGGACCTGGGACACCGCAGCCGTCATCAATAAGCCAACTGCCGAGCGGCCATCATGGTGGGTCGATCCAAATTTCGATCAGGCGACCCTGGAAATGTTGCGACGGTTGTAAATGTGAAAAACAGTCCTGAGTCATTTTTGCTGTTGCAGTTTTGAACGGACACTAAGTGAATGGTTGTAAGTCAAAGATGGCCTCTAGATGAGAACACTGGAAAGGCGCTAAGGCTGGCCTGGGCCCTTGGTCCCCCTTGCTGGCATCCAGGAGTCGAGCTGCTCTGCAGCCGCCCCAGAGACTCGCTGCCTGGGATGCGGGTGGTGGGGGAAGAGGCCACTGGGGGCCTTTGGGGCCCAGACCCTCCAGAAACCAGTCCTGCCCCCTTTAAAGCCCCCCCCCAAATTGGCTGCCCTGATGACCACTGCTGGCTGCCCATATCAGAGAGGTTCAACAGATGATGACTTTTAATATGGCAGAAAAGGATAAATTGCTTTGAATTAATATGCATTACTTTGAAGTAGATTAAACGTGGGTTTTGCTCGGGCTCCCAATCTGAACAGTGTGTGATGTGCTCTCGGCCCAAAGGAGCTGCGCCCACGGAGTGGGAACAGCCGGGATGCCTCAGCAGGGGCCAGACCTGGGCCAGGTCCTCCGTGCTTTCTCCATGGAAACACCTGGCGCCTCCCGACACCCCCATCCTCCCCTCTAGTCTCCAAGGTGTGTGTTGCTCCCAAAGGAGGGCACAGCTTTCACCCGCAACCCCCTTTCCCTGCAGTTCCCCCCCGTTTCCCCCCTGCAAAGCATTTGGGCAAGTGGCAAAGGCAGGGAAACTGGGGGCCCTCCGAGGTCCCCTCCCCTCCCTGGTAGGTAGCAGAGACAGGCCAGGCCCTTTGATCATCCTTTTATTCAGAGACCAAACTGCAAACTCCCTCAGGATGAGGATACCTTTGAACACTTAAATAAAAATAGATGTACACGTGTGCACACACACACACACACACACACACTCCCCTATGCACCTCACAGTTCCTAAACAAGTACAATACTCACAGCCACAATAAGCAATGGGACAATCTCCCAGAGCCATGCTCAGGGCAGGGTGGGGCAGGACTCGGCAGCCGAAGGGATTGCCTTGGCACGGATGAGGGCTGCCCTGTGGCGGCATGAAGCGTTCCTGGGACTCCAGGCCAAGCCCGCCTGGTTTCTTTCGCCCCGCTCCAAGAGCTGCCAAGAAGGAACTGAAGACGCCCATTTTAAATTCACCCCCATCACAAAAGGTGCAAATGACTGGAACTCTGCTTGGACAAAGTCCATTTCATTCAACCTGGCTGGTTTTCCCCACCCACCCACCCCACGAACTCCGGGCCTTTGACCTCCCACCCTGCAAAAGCTGCCGGGGAGCAAATGACCCCCAGCTGCCTGCTCTGGTGCTCCATCCACTGCCTCGCGGGGTGGGGACCTTCCTCCCTCCTGAGATGGGCCTGAAATTCTCCTCATCCCCTTGGAGCTTCTGCACTGTTCCCTCTTAGCCATCCTCACCAGACACTTCAGGGCAGCGGGGTTACCATCCCCTTGGCCTTCTGGAGTAGCCAATTCACGCTCTGCCCTAAATTTCACGGCAGTCGATCACGGGGCACTTCTGCTCAGTTGCAAACCTTAAATGCTAAGGGGGGCGAGAAGGGATGGAAAGTTGATGGGCACCAGAGTGCCAGAACCACAGCAGGGGCTCCCTGCCGCCATGGGAAATACATGTGCACGCATGCAGCTGTGCAAGCACACACCTCCTCCTCCTAGGCACCTTAGGAGCTCAGCTGGTTCCCAGGTTGCAAGTGGGAAGGAGCAAAACGCAGCTTATTTACGTCTGTCCCCACACGGAGCATTTCTCCACAGAATTCCCGGGTCCCGGCAAGGCTCACGGAAAGAGTCCCCCCTGGTGCCCTTTCCTTGGCCACCCAAGAATAATCTTTCTGGGGACCCTCCAGACTAAGGATTCCTGCAATCTCCACCAATTAGGGGCTTTCGGCACCTTCCCCGGCTTTTTGGAAAAGCCAGCGCCTCTTCCTCCCCCCTCTTTTAGAGCCCATTAATTATTACAATGAATTATTGGCAGAAGCAGCAATGAAAACAACCTGTACTTTTTCATCAAGTACAGAAATATACTTTTAACGGTCAACTGAAGGGGGGGGGGGTTGTCCCTCTATTTCCAAAGATGGAGAGCAGGAAGCTCAGCCAGCCCACCCCAAACAAAGGCCTTCGGAGAGGGGGGAATGCAGCGCCCCCGTCCCCAGTCAGGCCCTTTTGCCTAGCTGGTGGTGGGGATGATGAAAGATCCAGATTTGACCAGGGCAGAGAGGCCTAAAGCAGAGCTTTCCAAACTCGGCAACTTTAAGACTTGTGGACTTCAACTCCCAGAATTCCCCAGCCAGCCAAAGCCACAGCCAACTCTTCAATTCTGAGAGTTAAAGTCCACAAGTTTTAAAGTTGCCGAGTTTGGAGGCACCTAATCTAAAGGTGCGGGGGGTGGGTGGGTGAATTATAGCTCTTTTAAAATTTCCAAAAAGAAAGGCCAGGCTCCCCCGGGGCCAAAAATGGTTGCATCTGCTATTGGCTCTTAATGGTGGTGAAGAAGTGATGGGGGAAGGAGAGGAAAGAAACCTCTCCCTTCTTCGCTAGGGTGGGGGTGGGGAGGGGAGGGTCCTCAGGACACGGAGTGGGAATCACAGCCTCGGACCGGCCATCAGGCGGAGTCCCTGTAAAGATCTGCTGTTGTGGGGGACACGGGGGGGGGGGGAGGGGGACATAGATTTTTTTTCCTACCCCTAAGAGCCAGTGATTGAGGAAAATGGACCTAACAGCAGCAGCCACCTGGGTGTCGGCTTCAAGCAGCCGCGCATGGTGCAGCCCAGGTTGGCTGCCAGAGGGTTGGGAAGGGCTCCTGTCCAAGGAGGAAAGCAGAGGCCAGAGACTCCAGCCGGAGCGGACCCCATGGACAGAGGTGGACATCTTCTGGCTGAAAGGCTAAGGCACCTGGCCAGAGGGTCATCAGCCGAGCCGAGAAGGGCAGGGGGCGCAAGCGCTGGGAAAGGCCCTGGCAGACTCCTGTGGGCAAAGGCAGCAGGCCTCCCTCCCTCCCTCCAGAGGGGGTGCAGCCCTCAAGGGGGAAGAAAGGCAGCACACAGCAGGGCAAGGGACAGGCTGGCCAGTGCCCCCCCCCCACCCCCCCACCCCCCCTCCTACTTCTGCATGTCACACTGCAGCAGGAGGACAATGGAAGGGTCGCTCTTGGCTGCCTCCTTGAACTCTTCCAGGCTGATCTGGTCATCTTTATCCTTGTCCATCTTGGTGAAGATCTTGTCGACTCGCTGCTGGGGAGTCAGCCCATCTTGATCCATCCGCATCATAATGACAGTACCCACCATCTTGTAGATCGCCTGAAAGGCAGATGGGGAAAATGAGGCCAGGACTCTTCCGGGGCCCTGCTCTGCTGCCCCCTCCCTCCCCCGCCTGCAATGAGCAGCCATAGACCCCACACAGGCCCCTGGATACCTGGAGGCAGGACCTCCAACAGGGGACCGGCCTATGGGAGACCTGGTTCCATTGCATTTATCGGATCGTCACAACTTTGGGGACAACAACAAAGGACAACTTTGGAGGGATTGGGAATTGCAAGGATTTCCTGATTTTTATTTTTGTTATTTTTAGTTTGGTCAAGCCTATTTTATGGGGTTCCTGGGTGGGAAAAACATCATAAAGCTGTAGGAAATTGCGCCTCCCTGGAGGGATGATCTGCTGTGACTTCAGCCACAGGATTCTAGCTTGGCCAGCCCTGCACTGGGTCAATGATGAACCCCGAGCAGCCTGAAATCCACCCAAGGGAACTTCTGCTACCTCAATGATCTCCAGCATTTCCAAGCGGGTGATCTTCCCGTCGCCGTCCAAGTCATACATCTCAAAGGCCCAATTCAACTTCTGCTCAAAGCTGCCCCTGGAAGTGACAGACAGGGCGCAGATGAACTCCCGGAAGTCAATGGTCCCGTCTCCGTTCTTGTCAAACGTGCGGAAAGCATGCTGGGCGAACTTGGATGCGTCACCGTAGGGGAAAAACTGCAAGAGGAGAAATGGGGGAGGCGCCATCACAGGGGCTGCTGCCAGCAACAGGGGAAAGCCCTGCAGGTGCCCCAAGAAAGCAGCAGAAGCAGCAGCCTCCCGTTCCTCGAGAAGCTGCCCAGAAACGCCACTTCTGTTTTGTTGCTTTTCCTGGGGTTCACTCTGGAAAACCACCAATGGATTGAAGACCACACCTCACCCAGGGATGGGATTCTACCAGTTCACACCTATTCGCTAGAACCGGTTGTTAACATTCTAAGCAGTTTGGAGAACCGGTTGTTAGAAGAAATTACTGGCCTAATCCTGTAAGGAAGGCAGGAAGGAAACATCCTGGTGTTGCTTACAGAAACTGCCTCTCCGTTAACCCTTATTACGTCCTTGGAAGGACTAGACTTCCTGTCTCAGGAACTTCTCTGGAGTTTTTTTCCCCTCCTTTGCTGGTACTTTGCTTGTGTGGAGTGACCATTCAAAGTTACAATGGCACTGAAAAAAGTGACTTATGTCCATTTTTCACACTTACGACTGTTGCAGCATCCCCACAGTCATGAGAGGCCAGGCGAGGAGATGCGTGCCTCGATGTGAGTGATATTGAGTTGGCCACGCCCAGCCAATAACATGACCACCAAGCCACATCCACCCAGTCACATGACCACCAAGCCATGCCCACCAACTAAGCCATGCCTGCAGAACCAGTTGTTAAAAAATTGAATCCCACTCCTGACCCCACCCCCTGCAAAGCAAGTATTCTGTGTCTCTTGGATTAGGAGCGATGAACCCCAGAGTTATTTATTCACAGCATAGCAAGTCTTGCTGGGCAGCCTTCAGCCAGTCACTCTCTCCTGCCTCCCAGGACTGGTGTTATGGGACATAATACGGGACATAAGAGGGGGCGCAGTGATTTGAATGCAGAACTGCAAGGCTAACTCACTGCCCATTGCCTGAAGTTCAATTCTGACCGGCTCAAGGCTGATTCAGCCTTCCATCCTTTCAAGGTTGGTAAAATGATGACCCAGATTGTTGGGGCAAGAGGCAGACTCTGTAAACCGCTTAGAGGGGGCTGTAAAAAGCACTGTGAAGCGGTACGTAAGTCTAAGTGCTATGGCTATAATGTCCCCCTTGAGCTCCAGATGGGAGGCTTCACTGATAAGCCAATGTTATCCAAATGAGCTTCATCAGACCTATAGTACTTAGAGAGTAGAACAGAACAGAACATTCCTTGTTGGCCAAGTGTGCTTGGACACACAAGAAATTTGTCTCCAGTGCATAAACACTTAGTATACACACAAGCAACAAAGTGATAAACCTTTAATCATAAGATACAACCAACACACTTCTTAAAATGGGACAGCCAAGCTTCCCGGCCTCTATGGCTAATCCAAGAGCTTTGATGTTCAAGAGAGTGCCTGGCTGAAGCCAACTGGCTGCCCCAACTCAACTACCCTCCCCGCTCCATACCATACCTTGATGTAAAGTTGCTGGAATTCCTCCAAGTTGAGGATGCCTGTGGGGCAGTCTTTCAGAAAGCCCTTGTACCATTGTTTCAGCTCCTGCTCATTAAATTCAGTGCTCCTCACCAGGTCATCCAACATCTCCGGAGCCAACTTGCTGTTGTGCTTCCCCATTGTGATTTCTGGAAAGATAAATGTGCTAGCCATGCCACTGCCCTGGCACAGCCTTCAGGTGCCTCTGCCTCCCTCCGTCTGCCAGGTGCCCACTCTGCCTGGGGTAGAATGTCCCCCTTCATTTTCCCAAAGGACTGTCCCTCGGAGGGTGCTGCGTATTTCATAATAAACGGGAGCCAAATGGTGATTCACTAGCACCAGGAGAAAGACATGCAAGAAGGACCGCCTACACCAAGCAAGCAGTCCACATTATTCTAGGATGAATAATGACACGACGACAAAGAGAAAAACAACAATGATCTTCATATTTGGGCAGCAAATACAATATGGTTGCCATTACTTGGCAACTTGGTGGGATGAAAGTTGACTGGAATGTACTTAGAAGGATATAAACTGTTCAAAAGAAACAGACCTAACAAAATAGAAGAAGTTGCATTATATGTAAGAAATCACTACACTTCTACAGAAATGCACAATACCAAGGACAAAAACTTTCTTGAATGAATTTGGATTAATATAAAAGGAAAAAGGAATGATGTTGCCCTAGGTGTATAGTACTACAGGCCATCCTAGTAATTAGAAGAAATAAATGAATAGTTTGCTACTTATTTACAGAATAGAAGAAGAAGAAAGCTTAGGGGGTCTTCTGGTCCAGCCTCCTAAGCCCAACACCTGCACAAGCAGGAGAGGCCATGCACTTTCAGACAGGTGGCTATCCAGTCTCTTCTTAAAAGCCCCCACTGATGAAGCATTCACAACCTCTGAAGGCCAGCTGCCCCGCTGCTTAATTGTCATCACCATTAGGAAGTTTCTCCTTAATTCCAAGTTGCTTCTCCCTTTGATCTGCTTCTCTCCATCCATGGTTTCTTGTCCTGCCCCCTGCTGCTTTGGAAAATAAGTTGACTCCCTTCTTCTTTGTGGCAGCCCCTCAAATATTGGAACACTCCTATTACCCCTAGTCCTTTTCACGAGACTAGACATACCCAATTTTTGCAACCATTCTTCATGTTCTAGCCTCCAGCCCCCTAGTCTGCACTCTTTCCAGAGTCTCAACACCTTTTTGGTATCGTGGTGACCAAAACTGCATGCAGTACTCCAGGTGTGGTCTTACCAAGACATTATAAAGGGGTACTAATGCTTCATGTGAACTTGAGTCTACCCCAAAGCCTAGGATTGCACTGGCTTTTTGGAAGCTGCAGCACACTTTCTATTTAAGAGATTGTCCACTAGAGCTTCAAAATCCCTCTTACAGTTACTGCTATTGAGCCAAGTTTCACCTAATTTGTACCTGTACATTTGGTTTTTATTGCCTAAGTGTAAAATCTTATTTTTATCTATGCTGAATTTCATTTTCCTAGATAGGGCCCAGTGTGCAAATCTGTCAAGATCCATTTGGATCTTGAGTGTATCTTCTGGGGTGTTGGTATTCCTGCCAGCTTAGTGTAGCCTGCAAATTTGATGAGTTCCCCTTCTATTCCCTCATCTAAGTCATTTATGAAGATATTGAAGAGTCCTGAGTCTAAAACAGACCTTGTGGTTCCCCACTGCTTACTTCCCTCCATGTAGATGTAGTTCCATTGGACTACATTTAACTAATGTGTGCAGGAAACATACTACAGTAATAATGGGGGTGGGGGGGCACTTTAACTACCATGACATCGATCGGGAGACAAACTCTGAAGCAAGTGGCAGATCAAACTGATATAAACGGTTTAAAAGAAACAGACCCAACACGAGGGCCGGATGTCACACTGTATGTGAGGAATTACTACACCTCCACAGTAGCAATAGCACTTAAGACTGATGTGCCGCTTCCGGTGCTTTATAGCCCTCTCTAAGCGGTTTACAGAGCCAGCATTTTGCCCCCAACAATCTGGGTCCTCATTTGAAGGACCACAGAAGGATGGAAAGCTAAGTCAACCTTGAGCTAGATGAGAGTCAAACTGCCAAATTGCAGGCAGCTGGCAGTCAACAGAAGGAGCCTGCAATACTGCATTCTAACCACTGTGCTACCACAGCCCAGTACACGATACTCGGGTGAAAGTATTTGGGTCATTATCAGAGGGAAAAGAAACGATTTTGCTAAAGGGGTATGCTATAGGCCACCCAACCCAGCAGAGAGGAAACAGACGAACTCTTTGCTGGTCAGTTAGCTGAGGTGGGCAGGAAACACAGGAGTGTAAAGAAGGGGGACCAGAGGAAGTATCCTCGGGGATGCATGTCATGTTCATGGGCACTGAACTGCACACAAGCCAGGAATGTTCTTCCCTTCCGACAGGAGGGGCTCCACTAGCCTTGCGTCCAAATGCTGGCTCATCTTTGGCCCCTCTAGTTAAGACAGGCAAGATGGAGCCGTCTTGTGTTTTGACCTGTGAGGGACACGGTTGTCGTGGGAAGAGTTTACGCACCACCAGACGGTCTCGCACATCCCAGCGGCAGAATTTTCTAGGCAAGTATGGTGGACAAAAGGCTTTGAGGATGCCACCCTCTGGAGGGCTCTCCCACCCCACCCATTTTTCACTTCTGGGAACCCCAAACAACCTGCTTCCTCTCCCTTTTGGGGGGCTGCCCTTTGGGAAAAGATGGAGCCTCTGAAGCCGCGAAAGCTGGGCCAGGATCACATCAGCTAAAGTTCTGGGGAGCGGAGTAGGTAGCGGTCAGCCTAGGCAAGCCTCCTTCTGGGGTCCTCCCCAGTTTGGGGAGTCAGGAATGCTGCCGGATGTTGCGGCCAATCCCTATTTGAGGAGGGTTCCAGGTGGGCAAGAGGCAAGTCTTCACTGATGAAGAGAGGAAAGTTTGCTGCCTGCCTGCTTGGAGGACGGGAGCTCCTTCTGGACCCCATCTTAGGCAGGGCTGGGCAGGCCTTTCCCGCTGACAGTAATGCAGAGGCAGAACAGGAGTTGCTCTCCAAGGGAGCCCATGGGCTACAACACGACTTCTGAGAAAATTCCTAGTGCGTTGAATCACCCAATGCAAACCCTCCCAGCAAGTGCAAATTCTGGATGCATGGTCCAAGAACTGGCGCATCTCTGCTGCCCCCGAACAGAGCGCAGTTCCTTAGCTGAAGTGGTCCAAGGAGAACCAATGGCCCTGAAGACAGCAAGAGCCACACAGCCTGCAGGGCTGCTTCGGTGCTCCAGCACCACCCTGAGAGCATGGAGGATGACGGCGGCACGTTTGGCCCTGACCTTCCATCTCCCTGAAGCTGTCGCTGGAGGCAAGAGGCCTGAAATGCAAGTAAGTCCAACGTTTTGGGGACTCGCAGCCTTTTCCCCACTGGCCAGGGTGCCCGCCTGGAATGCTGCCAACAGCAAAGTCCGGGGGGGTGCAGGCTTTCTCCTCGCACCCCTACCCAGTAAAGCAGCCTGTGGAGGAAATGGGGGTGTCTCCAGGCAAGACAGAGAAAGGCCCGGCAGTCCCCAAGCCCCCTGCAAGCCGAACGCTTGGGGGATCGAGGGGGGCTCTGGCACAGAGGGCAAGGGCCACCTGTTCTGGGAAGGGCCCCGCCCCCTCCGCAAACGGAAAGCTGCTGCTAAACTGCTATTTCCACTTCTCCGTTCAGTTTCTCTTCCACTCTCTCCTTTCTGGGCCAAGGAACTGACAACGCAACACTTAATGTGTTTACCCTTCTCTCTTGAAAGGCACACTTTTTTTCTGACCTTCAGGGAAGTTGAAGGCCAGGAAGGGGAGATCTTGTTTTTCTTGTCAGGTCTTTGTTCCTGAAAGTGCCCGGGAGCAGTTGTGCCAACTGGCACTGAGAATCACAATTCCTTCTTCGCCACCCACCACAGACCCTAATGGCTCGTTTGATGCATATTCCACAAGCCAGCCACCGGCAAGCGTTGCAGACGGGCGCAGAGAGGAATTTTGTCTGCAGACCAAAGACTGACCCAAGAAACGCCATTTCTTGGCAACCGGCCAGGCAGTCCAGCAGCAAAATATGACGCAAACAGTTTTCTCCTTGCGGTGGTTCTGCAGCAAGTGAGGGCTGAAGATATTCTGCCCCTGAACTTGGATGTTTCCTCACCAGGCCTAATGACAATTGCAACTTTATAAGGCAACCACCCCAGCTTGTGAGGACGAATTTTGTGATTTGCTATCTGACATTCTGGGCAATATAGGTAGATTTACAGATTAAGTTACAACCATTCACTTTTTTCCAGACCTGAACTCACACCTTGAACAGGCCAGTCTCCATAAAAGTCTTGGCTGCCTTTATGCATTCCATGCATCTCTTCGCTTCGACCGCATTTCGCCCAGAACCTCTTTATGGGGGGAGGGGGGGACACACACACGCGACTTCATTTATCCCACCCAGTCGCTGGATACCGCGCTCTCGTCTCCAGTTCTCCCCAGGTAGAGAGAGCAAAGAGAGCTGGATCAAGAGGCACCGAGCGGCCAAGTCAGTGTGTGTGTGTGTGTGTGGGGGTGATTTAGACCCCCCTCCCCCGCTCCTTAACCAGCACCTCAGAGGTCGGAACCCCCGTCTGCCCTGGCAAAGTCGAAGCAGGAGATGGAAACAGGAGTTGCTCTCCGAGGCTCAGCTATAGGGCAGCTGCTTTGCACCCTCAGCCTCCTCCTCCTCCTCCTCCCTCCCAGGACGGGTATCTGGTGAATGATTTTCAGAGGGCAGAAAAGGAAGAGCAGCCATTGCACTGTCCCCTTCCTCTGTTGCGCATGGCAATGGATGCGGTGGCTGTCATGGCAACTGCTGCATTGTCGTGAGATTGACCCCAGCAGCAGCAGCTTCTTCCCTGAAGCAACTGCCTGGCGGCCCTCTCAACCATGCACCCCTCTCCTTACTTGTCCCAGCTATCTGTTTATGACCAAGCAAAAGCTGCCACAGAGGCCCCCTTCAGACGGTCACGGCAGCTCCAGCCGAGAGGTTGCTGCCATTTTGAGATCCTCCTGCTCCTAACTGGCAAGGCCCGTTTTCAGCGGAACCAGAGATGGAGCAGCCCATTTTGGGGGGAAGGGATGGCCCTCCTTCTCTGGGTGCAGTTGAGCGGAAGCCACACCACCCCCGATCAGGTCTGCTTTAACAGGGACTCCCCCACCGAACAGCAAGTTGAGCCCTGACAGCCACCATGCTACCCTCTCACTGCTGTTATGTCTGTACCCAGCAGGCTGCAGGTCAAAGATAGGAAGCGCTGAACTGGTAACTGGTAACACAAAGCAACACTTGGAGGACTCCCAGGAGCTTAAGCTTCACTTGCAAACCCCCTAAGATTGTGCTCAGCCTCTGAAGCAGAGCAGGCAACCCCCCCAAGGCCTTCCGGAAGGTCTCGTAGGACTGGAGGAGCTTCCCCCTCCGAATTCTCAGGCAGGATCAACGGCTGGCTAGTTGAATATGCAGGTACTCGACTGTGCGACAGAAGAAAGCAAAAGGGAAGGAGGCCTACGTCCTGCAGCCCTCCCTGAGCAGAAGGCAGGGGGGGAGCCTCTTTCAGAACGGGAGGCTGGCTTGAGTGGCAGTGCTGCTTTCTGCCGAACGGCTGGAACGAGAAACGTCCATCTGTTACGAAGGCATCTCTATAGGTATATTGGGGGGGGGAAGGGGGGGGCGTTTTCCAAGGAGCTCCCACAGCTTCTGGTCCCCACCAAGGAAGGCAAACCAATATGCAGCACAGACCAGTCAGCTGTCCCAGCCACCCGTCTGCCTGGGCCGATGCTTCAGGTGCCAATCCTGCCCTCACACTCCCCATTCCGCCAGCAGCAAAGGGATCTGATGGCACAATCACGCCCACATCCCCGGGCTGCCTTCCGTCAGCATCTGAGACGACTCTGCCACTGAACCTGCCGCCTCTGTTACCTAGAATGGCCGCCAGTCTCCACTCTGGCCATTGTGCTTCTTGGCACAAGTGCGCCTGCCAGCCCCTGTGGGCATGGCCACCACTGGAGTGCAGCTCTGCCAGTCTCCCCCCTCCCCCCCTTTCTAGTTTGACCCCTGTACTCTCTATGTTGGTCCAGGCAGGCAGCTGGGCCGACTGACTTGTTTTCTGCTTCAGGAACCATAACAGGCACCACTTGCACAATTCCGCATAAGGGAATGGAAGAATGGTCTGCTAAGGAGGGGGTTTGGTCTTGCCTTTCAACCCCCGGGTCTCTCTGAGGTACAGTTGGGCAAGGGGCTTTTAAAAACAAAAGCCAAGAAACCCCAGCGGCTTCTGTGACAGGCCTGGGAAGAGGGAGGAGGAGCCTTCAGGGCACCCAAAGTCCCACAACGCTGAGCCCCCCCCCCCTCAGCCAGATTCCCTTCCTCGGCCTTCTCTGCATATTTGCTGTTTTCTCCGTAATCAGGCTGGACAAATAGCGAAGCAAAATTTGGCAAGATGCATAAAAAAACCAAAAAACCAGTCATGACACCAAGTTCCTCCAGAGACAGAATCTCCAGCAAGCACAGGAATGTCCTGCCTGGGGCTGACCATCTTGCCTTGAACGAGAGGGGCCCTAACCCAAAGAGATGCCCACGGAAGGGGAGCCAGGGTCTCTCAGGGCCAGCTCTCCACACAACCAGGTCAGCCTCTTCCAATCCACTGGGTGCCAACAGACACCATCCTCATCCAGCATGTCCAAAGACTGGCAAGAAGGAGAGCCACGTCAGTCTGTGGTGGCCCAAGACCAGGAGCAACTGGGCGCCACGAGGTGCACCTGATACCTTTTGGTAGCCAGTTAGTGGGGAAAGCTGATCATCTGCTTTTTCTTAGCCTCCCTCTGAGTTTTCGTGTTGGATCTGTGATCTCAGAATCAAACTGAGAAGGGCCCTTTGAGGTCAGCGAGTCCACCCTTTGGCTGAGTCCACAGGCCGGCCTCTATGACAGATAGCTGTCCAGCCTCTCCTTGGACCCATCCAGGAAGGGGACGCCATGCCTTCCTGGGAAATTGGCTCCGCTCTCAACCTGCCCTTCCTGTTGCTTCTGCCTGTCGTTCCAAGTCCAGCGTTGTGGAGCTCTGGACACGGGCCATGCCCGTCCTCTTGGGGGGCTCTTGCCGGGAGCGGGGTGATTTTTAGCAGGAAAGAGCTGAGCTACGACACCCTTAGGACTGCTGTGCATTCACAGCAAGAGCCACAAAACACTCCTCCGCCCCCTTCGCTTTGCCAGAGGAGAAAACACTGATCTCATCCGGCTTACAAGATGTTCTGAACATGACAAAATGCCCCAAAGGACTCCCTATTCTGGTGGCGGGTTGGCATTTTCTGGACAACCGAGATCCTTGCCCCCCTCCCCTCCGATTTGCCCTTGGGTGCGCTTCTGCAGGCTTTTTCCTTGCTCTGTCTTCCCAGCTGGCCCTCCCAGCCCAGAGACACCAAGAGACTCAGTGAAGGCAAGAGAGCTTGTGATGCTTGTGGCCCCAGCAAGTTGATGGCCGTTAGAGACTACGTTGGGCCACGTTCCTGTTTGCTCTCAGGTCACCAACCTGCTGGGTAAGGTGGATGACTGGCTCTTAAAGGCAGGCCGGGGGAGAGAAGACCCACAACTGCCACCCTCCCAGGGAAGGGTCTGACCGGCTCTTCCGGTTCCTCACCCACAGACAGAAGGGGGGAGGGGGCAATTATGGCCAAACTGCTCGTGGGCAGCCAATCAGGGCGTCCCTGGCTCCAGTCAATGAAGAGAACCCAGAGGTTTTCATCCAGACTGGTAATACCAGGGCAGGCATTTCTCCCTGTGGAGGTCAGCTCCCTCAGCCAAGGGGGAGCCTGTCCTGCTCCCCTCTTTTGGCAGGGCACAAGCTGGATCTCCAGAGGACGCCTTGCGGGTGTCAGCCTGCTGTCCTTGGAAATGCCAGCGTGGCGGTTTCAGGCCCAAGACCCCCTGGCTTGCCTCCCCCAGGAACCTCCGGCTGCAAGGCGTGTGTGTCTGTGTGAGGCATAACAATGGTTGCTCACCCTCCGCATCTGCCCAGCTGCAAGTTCTCTGGACCCAGCAAGAGCCTGTTGATCAATCCCTCTGCCCACCAATGGTTGCCAAGACCCTGATGGGTAAGGGAAACCCTTAGCAGAGGGTGGGGGGGGGACCTTTGGGATGCAGAGAAGCAGGGTCCAGTCAAAGGTCAGCGCTTCCTTCTCCAGGCCATGTTAAAAATCAGCTGGAAAATAGGAAAATGCTTCCCCCCCCCCCCCCTCCCGCCCCCCCCCCACTTCAGGGAACAGATTTGTCATTTCTCTCCTGGCTGAGAAGAGGTGACATCGCAGCTCCTCTGCCTCCCGCCACCCCCTCGCCAGACCGAGATTTCCCCAGACCAGGCGGGGACTTGTTGCAAAGGGCGCGGGGATGGAGCCCAACGGCGGTTGCGGGAGCGAGGAGGGGAAAGGGCCGCTTCGCATCCCCGCCTTCCCGGGGGCCGGAGGGCAGCGGCCGCTTCGCGTCCCACCGCTGGGTTCCAGACCGGCCAAGGCAGGCTGGAGGCGCGCCTCTGCCCGGCACCCTCCTGCGGAGCCCTCGACGGAGGAGTTCGGCGAAGCCCTCGGGCAGGAATCCGCCGCAGCCCCCGAGGAAGCGGCTCCGCAGCCGCCCTGCCAGGGATGGGGGGCCGCCCGCCGCCCGCGATCCCGGGGGCGGCGGAATTGCGCCCAGCCCCCCCCCCCAGCCCCGCCCCGCTCCTCCCCCGGCGGCGGCGGCGCCGCAGCTCACCTGGCGGACGCGGGTCGGCCGGCTGCTTGCCTGCCCTCCCTCGGAGGTGCGCCCGGTGCGGAGCCGGAGCCGCGGGAGCAGCGAGCGCTCCACCGGGAAGCGGAGGAGGAGCTCCGCCGCGCTCAGCCCCACCTGAGCCGCCGCCGCCGCCGCTTTCGGCACCTTCCTTCCCCGCCTCCCCTGGAGCGGAATGTGGCTCGCCCGCCGCCCGCGCGGAGCCTCATTGGCTGCGCCGAGTGGCAGTCATGGCTCTTTCGCTCCTGGCGGGGCTCCCCACCCCACACCCGGGCAGCGGAGGGCCCGGACCCCCCGAGGAAGAAGCGGCGGGAGCCGGCGGGGGTTGCCCTGAGGCGGAGCAGCCCTTCGGGGTTCTTGGGAGGTCGCGGGAGCGGCGGCTCGCAGCGTGGCCGCCGCTCCTGCAGGAACCCCCGGGGCCGTCGAACCTGCTCGGTGAGGCTGCTCGGTGCCCTCGGGGGGCTGCGGGCGCTGCGGCGAGAAGGGCTGCCTGTTCACAAGATGGCTGCCGGGGGGGGGCGGGGGCGGGTGGAGTATGGAAGAGGCTGAGATTCACCTGAAGGCTCCGTGCAGCAGCCCCCCCTCCCTTGTTCTGCCCCTTCTCTGGAAATGTTGGGGGGGGGGGCACTGGCAATAAAGAGCGTGCAGGGGCGCCCTGGCCGTTTCCCGCGCGGCTCCTGAATTCTTGAGCCAGTGAAATCGTTTCCGTCTCTGTAAGCCTGGGTGGAGGGGGAGCCAGCAGGGCGATGCATTCCCCCCCCCCGCCCCACCCCGCTGTAAAGCCTGCCTATCCATCATATTGGCTAGCCTAGAACACCCCTCCCTTGGTTTGGTTTGCACCTGGAGCAGAAACTACCTGCAGAGATCAGCCGTGGTTGTGATGCCATTAAGCCAGGCCCTACTCTTGGCAACCATAGCAGTAGATTTTTTGTTGTTGTTGTTTTTCAGAGGGATCTGTCCTAACCCGATTCTTCCCACCTGCCTTGCTCCTCTTCTCCTTCCTTCCCAGCACTAGAGCTTCTCTCTGGCAAAGCGGCCTTTGGGTGATGAGTCCGTGCTCATGAATGTGTGTGTTTGTTGTGCTGCCTCCCTGTGGGGCATTCTCAGGCGCTCTCTCCAGCACCAGCATTCAGAAGCACCAGTGGTTCTCTGTGTCGCTGCTGCTTCCAAGTCCAATTTTATGTTTTATGGGCTGGTGCTGAATATACAGGTGAAACTCAAAAAATTAGAATATGATGCAAAAGTTCATTTATTTCATTAACGCAACATATATTAAGTGAACCTAATATATGAGATAGACTCATTACATGCAAAGCAAGATAGTTCAAGCCGTGATGTGTCATAATTGAGATGATTATGGCTTACGGCTCATGAAAACCCCAAATCCACAATCTCAGAAAATTAGAATATTGTGAAAAGGTTCAATATTCGAGGCTCAAAGTGTCCCACTCTAATTAAGCCATGACACCTGCAAAGTGTTCCTGAGCCTTTAAATGGTCTCTCAGTCTGGTTCAGTAGGAATTACAATCATGAGAAAGACCGCTGACCTGACAGTTGTGCAAAAAACCATCACTGACACCCTCCATAAGGAGGGAAAGCCTCAAAAGGTAATTGCAAAAGAAGTTGGATGTTCCCAAAGTGCTGTACTGAAGCACATTAATAGAAAGTTATGTGGAAGGGAAAAGTGTGGAAGAAAAAGGTGCACAAGCAGCAGGGATGACTGCAGCCTGGAGAGGATGGTCAGGAAAAGGCCATTCAAAAGTGTTGGGGACTTTCACAAGGAGTGGACTGAGGCTGGAGTCAGTGCATCAAGAGCCACCACACACAGACGGATCCTGGACATGGGCTTCAAATGTCGTATTCCTCTTCTCAGGCCACTTCTGAACAACAAACATCAGAAGCATCTTACCTGGGCTAAAGAAAAACAGAACTGGTCTGTTGCTCAGTGATCCAAAGTCCTCTTTTCTGATGAGAGCAACTTTTGCATCTCATTTGGAAACCAAGGACCCAGAGTCTGGAGGAAGAATGAAGAGGCACACACTGCAAGATGCTTGTGTGAAGTCTGTGTTGATTTGGGGAGCCATGTCATCTGCTGGTGTTGGTCCACTGTGCTTCATTAAGACCAGGATCAACGTAGCCGTCTACCAGGAGATTTTGGAGCACTTCATGCTTCCTTCCACAGACGAGCTTTATGGGGACGCTGACTTCATTTTCCAGCAGGATTTGGCACCTGCCGACACTGCCAAAAGCACCAAAACCTGGTTCAATGACTGTGGGATTACTGTGCTTGATTGGCCAGCAAACTCGCCTGACCTGAACCCCATAAAGAATCTCGGGGGCAACAATAATGTCGGAAAGACTAAAAATTATATTACATGAACTTACTCATATTGACCAGAACGGTTTTCTATCTTCTAGACCAGGGGTGGGCAAACTACGGCCCATGGGCCACATCCGGCCCGTTGGTCATTTTAATATGGCCTGCCTCTGAAAAAAAAATTCTCCTCTGAAAAAAAAATTGGGGCCGGCCAAAAGAGACCCTGCTCCACGCGCCATAAAATCGCAAGCACAACACGGAGCTGGGCAGCCGCTTCTGGTGGCGGGGCCGAGGTTGCCGCCCAGGGAACGCCCACTGCTTTCTGTTGTGATTGGAAGGATCGGTCCTGTTGGGAGTTTTGACTCTGATGACTGTTAGATCGTGGATTAACGTCAGAACCAGGAAACGTTAATCTGAAGGGCAAGCCAGTTAATTAGCACGTTGCCTTAATGGGTATAAAAGGACACAGCTTAGCTGGTGCCTTTCGCCAGGAACAAAATGACTATTTTGAATGAGGACGTTACTGCAAAGAGCTCTCTGTTTGTTTGAATTTCGAAGGGGAGTCCTAACAGTTTCTGCCAGCCGTTATCTTGTTATTTCCTTCAGTTTGATTTGATTGTGAAACGGCTGCTTTTTGTTTGTTCGTTTGAATTTCCAAGAGGAGACATAACATTATTGTTCCTGGCCCAAACAAACCATCTTTCAAGCAAGATGGATTTAAATCAACTGCAGCGTTTGGTAGAGCAGCAACAACAACAAATTAATCAGCTACTGCAAAGCAATGTGACACTTCAGAATCAGGTAACACAATTGCTGAATTATGTTTCCAGCTTACCAAGCCCTGCTGCTGTTCCCCCTGCCCCTCCTGAGAGGAAAAGCCCAGTATCCATGCCAGAGAAATTTTCAGGACAAATGGATATGTTTCCGGCATTTCTGGGGCAGTGTCAATTATTTATGTCCTTGAGGCCTGAAAACTTTCCAAATGATCGGGCTAAGACAGGATTTATTCTTAGCCTTTTATCTGGGCAGGCTGCTAATTGGGCTACTCCCTTGTTAGTTCAAGATAGCCTGTTGTTGAATTATTTCCAGGGTTTTCTTCAACAAATGAGAGTGATGTTTGAGAACCCAATTAAGATACAAACTGTGGACAGACGATTATGAGACATTAATCAGGGGAAACGTTCCCTGCAGGAATACGTTGCAGAATTTCGTTTGCTGTGTTTGGACTCTAACTGGAACGAACCAGCTCATATGGCTGCATTCCAGGAAGGCTTGTCTGATGCCATCAAAGATGAGCTGGTCCATGCAGAGAGGGCTTTAACTTTGGATGCATTGATAGTTCAGTGCTTACGAATTGAAGCTCGTTTACAGCAACGTGGACGCAAACGGCTCGGTATGGAACCATCTTCGTTTTCTCGTGCACAACCCACGTCTCCGAGAGTTTTCCAACCCACGGTAAATGTTGAGGAGCCGATGGAGTTAGGCGCACTCCGCCCTCGCTTAACGGTGCGAGAACGTTCGAGAAGGTTCCAGGAAGGCTTGTGCCTTTATTGTGGGGGTCTGGGACATTTTGTTAATTCCTGCAAATGGAGAGGGACCCGCAGACCCATACCGGAAACCACTCTTGGCTCGTCAGGAAAACAGGGTAGACCTGACCTCAAGGAAACCCTAGGTCGGACACATTTCACATCCCCACCTCAAATTGCTGAAGTAAATCTTGGCCCTCCTCGGCATTTACTTTTGGACACTCGAATTTTTCTACAGTCACAGAAGGAGGGAATTCCCGCTGTTGCGTTGGTGGACTCAGGGGCTATAACCAGCTTTATGGACCGAGCTTTTGCTACACACTATGAGATCCCATTGGTTGCTGTACATCCACCCATTAAGGTGGAAACCATGGATGGGCGTGAGCTCAAGTCTGGGCCCATTCGTTTCGCCACCCAGCCAGTGCGTATGATCATTGGGGATCATGAGGAGGCGATAAGTTTTTATATCACCTCGAACCTTCACCTCCCTTTGGTGCTCGGAATGTCCTGGTTGCGTTTGCACAATCCGTTGGTGGCTTGGTCGCAGAACGGTATTTCTTTTCCAAGTCTCCAATGTGTAGACCACCTGAGACAATTGGAACGAGCGACGCCTCCATTGGCTGTGGGAGACAGAGTGGGGTTGTCAACGAAACATCGTCAAGTTAATCATCAGACTCGGGGGAAGGGCCCTGCAATGGGGGATAGTGTTGTGGTTGGAAGGATCGGTCCTGTTGGGAGTTTTGACTCTGATGACTGTTAGATCGTGGATTGACGTCAGAACCAGGAAACGTTAATCTGAAGAGCAAGCCAGTTAATTAGCACGTTGCCTTAATGGGTATAAAAGGACACAACTGAGCTGGTGCCTTTCGCCAGGAACAAAATGACTATTTTGAATGAGGACGTTACTGCAAAGAGCTCTCTGTTTGTTTGAATTTCGAAGGGGAGTCCTAACAGTTTCTGCCAGCCGTTATCTTGTTATTTCCTTCAGTTTGATTTGATTGTGAAACAGCTGCTTTCTGTTTGTTCGTTTGAATTTCCAAGAGGAGACATAACAGCTTTCCCTCCGCCCGGGCTCTGCTCAGGTGTCCGGCTGGGGCTGTC